TCACCGTCATTCACTCCATCACTGTCTTGCCAGAGGGTGCTTTACACTACAGTTTTTAACTTGCAACATAACACCCCTCCTTCAGAGTGGCAGGGCACTGTACTTCCCATCTCCAGGACACGAGTCCGGCTTGCCGGTTCCCCTAACCCCTTCATAATGTTACTTTGCTCACACTCCAACAGCAACGTCAATGTATTAAAACCATTTGTCTCATTCACTCCTATCAAACACGCTCACGCATGCCATGCTGGAAGTCCAAGCCCCTCGCCCCACAAAACCTCCTTACCCCTCCCACCAACCTTTCCTAGGCCGACCCCCTACCCCCCTTCCTTCCACTACAGACTGATGGGGGCCTCTTGAAAGTCACTCTTTTTCGCTCCATTGCCTCTCTACGTGACCAAACCACCTCAGCAACCCTTCTTCAGTCCTACATCTCTGGACAACATTTATATTACCTCCAGCACCAACACCTCGGAACTACTAAGCCCACCACCTGGCCGAACTCTGCCAAAATATCACGAGCGCACCCATTCCCGCATACGATACGAAGAGCCACACCCCAGCCCAACCCTCCAACCACCTCGTTCTGCAACCAACACACGCCATTCTACATTCGCCCCTAAAATAATCGATGTTGACACTCCATCTTCCGGTCGCACCCCCAAACCCGCACAAATTCCACCCCTGCTGACAAAGATCTAAGTACCACCACCTCCAGCCAAAAGGCACCGCACCGCCCTAATATTCCCCACATCCCAGATAACACATCAACGCCTGGGCACCACAAAAATCCACGCCCCCCATGCCGGCCAATCCTTTGCCGCTTACTCCCTACTGCCCTCGCCACACAGCCCAGCCCCTAGATTCCCCACACTCCCCATCTCACACTGTGACTCCGGGCACACCCAGCATCACGACCCACAAACCAACCCCTCCACTAAAGAATAACTACCATCCCACTCCCCAAGACTCCACAAACCTTACAACGGCCCGGAAAAAAACCCAAATACAAAACATAAAAATTCCCCCGCCACGGGAGGTAGTGGGTCCCCCTGACCCATGTGTGCTATATAGGGACCAATGCGCACACACTTCCCCGAACACATACCCATGGTGTGTGGGTGGTAGTCAAAAGATTACAGAGGTACATAATAGGTCCAGGAACTGGACCACAAAGTTTTGATAGCTGAACAAGGTATAAAGGTAATGAACTCACAAGTTACAAATGTAATGAATCATATAAGTAAGTAAATTTACTTACTTACGTTTATACATGACTACAATCATGAACAAATTATAAAGTAATGGCCAATTCACACGTCCACACCCGGTCACAACTATGATTTATTGGTGCAAATATTAATTGTTGGGTCACACACACACACACACACACAACACACACACACACCACACACACACACACACACGACTGTACATATACACACAAGCACACATGCATTCACATATATGACTACACAAATACACACGTAAACACACACACATACACACACATGCTTGGGTTATTTTGCATTTCATTTCTACATTGCTCCTGAAGGAGCATTGTAGAGCAATGTGACAAGTGCCTTGAAAAAGTCATCCTCTCCCCCTGTGGCTAGTGCGTATATATATATATATATATATATATATATATATATATATATATATATATATATATATTATATATATATATATATGTCGTGCCGAATAGGCAGAACTTGCGATCTTGGCTTAAATAGCAACGCTCATCTTGCCATATAGGACGAGTGAAAATTTGTGTATGCAATAATTTCGTCAAAATCATTCTGAACCTAACGAAAAAAAATATATTTGATTGTGTTTGTTTAGTACTAAATTACTGTAAACGTGTTTAAAATATATTTAGTTGGGTTAGGCTAAAATAAATTGCTCTTGTTATAATAAGGTTAGGTAAGTTTTCTAAGATTCTTTTGGTGCAAAATTCAAAATTTTTACATTAACATTAATGAAAAAAATATATCTTTAAACGTATAAGAGAAAATTTCCGAAAGGACTTAATTTTAAATGAGTTGTTGCTAATTGACCAGTTTCACATATTCGGCACGACATATATTATATATATATTATATATATATATATAATATATATATATATATATATATTATATATATATATATATATATATATATATATTATATATTAACACTGATCTCTGGCTGAAGAAGCATGCGAACTATACACATGCTCTCGCGAATTCCTTGCATTGTTCAAATCTCTAGTAAGGCTGATGCATGCAGGGGATGAGATGAAAAGCTGTAAGCCTTCTCCTGAAAGTTGGCTGCCTTGGATCAAACGTGTAGCGCATGCTACACGCCAAGGTATTGTCCAGTGTGGGTAGATTGGTAAAGCACTGCGTACCTCGTCCTAAGGTTCGTAGGTTCGAGTCTCCTTCAGCCAGAGATCAGTGTTTATTATATATATATATATATATTATATATATATATATATATATATATATATATATATTATATATTTATATATATCAACAAGATGACAGGATGGAAATAAATGGTATAAAATACCGACACAATGGAAATATAAACACAAATGCAGTATAATGTGATCCTTTATTGACAACGTTTCACTCACACAGTGGGCTTTTTCAAGTCACACACGGATCTACCTGGGGTTGGAAGGTACGAGAGTATTTATAGTCATGTTCAGAATGTTGAGGTCAGGTGGAGAATGCTGCATCTGATGATCTACCGGGTGGGGTTATAGAGTCTTGGGTAGCTTGGCAGGGGTATTGGACAAGTTGTGAGTAGACCTTCTGCAGTGTTCTATGTTCTTATGTGGGGTAGCGATGAAGAAGTTTCTTGGCAAGTGGTTCAGCTATGTTATAGAAGCCATTGTTCTGGTTGAAATTGTTGGTTGTAGAGATAAGCGATGATTCCAGGATTCTTCTGTACTGAGTGTTGTCTTCTGTGGCTATAAGTCTTGAGTTTCTGTAGTTAATTAAATGGTTGTGTGAATTGCGATGTTGTACACAGGCATTCCTTGTATCGTCAGTCCTGCTTGCATATTGGTGTTCTGAAATACGTGTTTGGAGGTCTCTTGATGTTTCGCCCACATATAATTTGTTGCAGTCATTACAAGGGATTATGTATACCCCTGCAGAGGATGGAGGCTTGTCCTGTCTACTACTGGTGATGTCCTTGATGGTCGTGGTTGTGGAGGTAGATACTTGGAATGATGTTTTGGCAAAGATGTTGGAAACATGTTTTGCAATGGAGTTGGTTGGGAGGACTATGTATCTCTTCTCGGCAGTGTCTTCTCTGGGTGTGTTGAAGATGTTTAATGCCCGTCGTCTGCAGTCTCTGATGAAGTGACGAGGATACTGGAGTAGTGTTGAATGATGATGAAAATATTTTCTTTTTGGGATTTTCTTTCTTTTTTGGGTCACCCTGCCTCGGTGGGAGACGACCGACTTGTTGAAAAAAAAAAAAAAAAAAAAATATATATATATATATGTATATATATATATATATATATATTATATATATATATATATATATATATATATATATATATATATATATATATATATATATATATATACTTAACTCTAGAAGACGGGCAGTGGAACCAAGCTACACTTCCAGTCAGACTAGGAGGCATTGGTGTCCGTAAGTCATCACAGATTGCGCTACCTACTTTTCTGTCCTTATGTATTGCATCCAGAGAGCTTGTAGCAGCGATTCTCCCTGAACATCTTAGGGACAAGATTGGAGTCCAGCACCAAAAGTTCATTGACGGAGCCATGATCTGGGATAATCTAACAGGCTCTGAAACCAGACCTGCTCCCCCCAACAACTACAAACAATCGCACTGGGATGGTCCAGTAGTGGAAAATATAGCCTCAACAATACTTCAGAGTGTGTTAGGGAAGGATAGAGCCCGCCTTCTGGCAGTGAGAGCCCCCTCATGCTGGGGACTCATGCTGCCAGCCTTGGCACACGCCTCGACCCACAGACCATCCGCATCGGTGTTGCCCTTCGACTTGCTGCTCCTATTCTCGCCGAACACAGGTGTATTTGTGGCAGTGAAGCAGCAGACCGATTCGGGTACCACGGTGTTGTGTGCCGTAAATCCGAGGGAAAGATTGCAAGACATGAGGAGGTTAATAACATTATCAAGAGGAGCCTCACAACAGCCGGATGCCCAGCAGTAAGGGAGCCACCGCAGCTATGCAGATCTGATGGCAGCCAGAAGCGTCTAGATGGTATCACTCTTCAAGCTTGGACAGATGGGAAGCAGGTGGTGTGGGACTATACATGGGCATCTACCTTGGCTGATACCTATCTCCAATACACCAGGGAGGAAGGAGGGGCAGCTGCCAGCTTCAGGGAGTTCCAAAAGTCTAGAAAATATGGAGAACTTGCCCATCATTATTTATTTGTGCCCATAGGCTCAGAGACCCTTGGCTCATGGGGAAAGAATACATCTAAATTCCTTAAGGAGCTGGGAAAAAGACTCATCAGGGTAACTAGGGATCCCAGGGCAGCTAGTTTTCTGTTCCAGCGGCTCAGTGCGGCTGTTCAAAGGGGTAATGCCTGCTGTATTTTGGGCACACGCCCCAGCTCTGAGGAGCTGGATGAGATTTTCGCCCTATAATCAGTGATACACACGTAACAACATGTACCGTATATGCCACCTTTACATCAACAATGTATCTCTTAAATCTTTTGTACCATTTATATATATATATATATATATATTATATATATATATATACTATATATTATATACTATATAATATATATATTATAATAGTGTGTGTGTGTGTTTATTTTATTGATATTGTGTATGGTTGAATGTTTATCAGTTCTAGTGATCATGTTAGCAACATTCTCCCAACAGAAATACGGCCATTCCCATCACGTCTTACGACCCGGTTATCACCACCACTACCACCACCACCACCACCACCACCGCTACTACCACCACCACCACCGCTACTACCACCACCACCACCACCACCACCAGTTACAGCTACGGCAGCCAAGGTAGCAGACGACGTAGCTGGGTCAGACTTCCTACATATCACTGTGACATCATCGGCACACCACTTACTTGTCACCGTCAACAGTGACGTGGTAAGTCTTCCTCATCAACAGTGACGTGGTAAGTCTTCCTCATCAACAGTGACGTGGTAAGTCTTCCTCATCAACAGTGACGTGGTGAGTCTTCCTCATCAACAGTGACGTGGTAAGTCTTCCTCATCAACAGTGACGTGGTGAGTCTTCATCAACAGTGACGTGGTGAGTCTTCCTCATCAACAGTGACGTGGTAAGTCTTCCTCATCAACAGTGACGTGGTGAGTCTTCCTCATCAACAGTGACGTGGTGAGTCTTCCTCATCAACAGTGACGTGGTGAGTCTTCATCAACAGTGACGTGGTGAGTCTTCCTCATCAACAGTGACGTGGTAAGTCTTCCTCATCAACAGTGACGTGGTGAGTCTTCCTCATCAACAGTGACGTGGTAAGTCTTCCTCATCAACAGTGACGTGGTAAGTCTTCCTCATCAACAGTGACGTGGTAAGTCTTCCTCATCAACAGTGACGTGGTAAGTTTCCTCATCAACAGTGACGTGGTAGTCTTCCTCACAACTGTGACGTGGTAAGTCTTCCTCATCAACAGTGACGTGGTGAGTCTTCCTCATCAACAGTGACGTGGTGAGTCTTCCTCATCAACAGTGACGTGGTGAGTCTTCATCAACAGTGATGTGGTGAGTCTTCCTCATCAACAGTGACGTGGTGAGTCTTCCTCATCAACAGTGACGTGGTGAGTCTTCCTCATCAACAGTGACGTGGTAAGTCTTCCTCATCAACAGTGACGTGGTGAATCACCGTCACTCACACCATCACTCACACCGTCATACACACCGCCACTCCCACAGTCACTCACACCACTCACAGCGTCACACCGTCACACCATCACTCACACCGTCACTCACAGCCACACACACCGTCACTCACAGCCACACACACCGTCACACACACCGTCACTCACACAGTCACTCACACCGTCACACTGTCATACACACCGTCACTCACACCATTACTCACACCATAACTCACATCATCACACACCGTCACATACCGTCACTCATACAGTCACACCATCACTCACACCGTCACTGACACCGTCACTCACACCGTCACTGACACCGTCACTCACACCGTCACTCACACCGTCACTCACACCGTCACTCACACCGTCACTCACACCGTCACTCACACCGTCACTCACTACGACTTATTTGTGATCAGAAGACATCACCAGGTCCATCACAGAAGCCAAGTGACTCATTATATCTTACACAAGTTAACATTAAGACGAAGCTTCCTGGGAACAACACAGCAGCACAAGACGAAGCTTCCTGGGAACAACACAGCAGCACAAGACGAAGCTTCCTGGGAACAACACAGCAGCACAAGACGAAGCTTCCTGGGAACAACACAGCAGCACAAGACGAAGCTTCTGGGAACAACACAGCAGCACAAGACGAAGCTTCCTGGGAACAACACAGCAGCACAAGACGAAGCTTCCTGGGAACAACACAGCAGCACAAGACGAAGCTTCCTGGGAACAACACAGCAGCACAAGACGAAGCTTCCTGGGAACAACACAGCAGCACAAGACGAAGCTTCCTGGGAAACAACACAGCAGTACAAGACGAAGCTTCCTGGGAACAACACAGCAGCACAAGACGAAGCTTTCCTGGGAACAACACAGCAGCACAAGACGAAGCTTCCTGGGAACAACACAGCAGCACAAGACGAAGCTTCCTGGGAACAACACAGCAGCACAAGACGAAGCTTCCTGGGAACAACACAGCAGTACAAGACGAAGCTTCCTGGAAACAACACAGCAGCACAAGGACGAAGTTCCTGGAACAACACATGCAGCACAAGACGAAGCTTCCTGGGAACAACACAGCAGCACAAGACGAAGCTTCTGGGAACAACACAGCAGCACAAGACGAAGCTTCCTGGGAACAACACAGCAGTACAAGACGAAGCTTCCTGGGAACAACACAGCAGCCCAAGACGAAGCTTCCTGGGAACAACACAGCAGCACAGACGAAGCTTCCTGGGAACAACACAGCAGCACAAGACGAAGCTTCCTGGGAACAACACAGCAGCACAAGACGAAGCTTCCTGGGAACAACACAGCAGCACAAGACGAAGCTTCCTGGGAACAACACAGCAGCACAAGACGAAGCTTCCTGGGAACAACACAGCAGCACAAGACGAAGCTTCCTGGGAACAACACAGCAGTACAAGACGAAGCTTCCTGGGAACAACACAGCAGTACAAGACGAAGCTTCCTGGGAACAACACAGCAGCACAAGACGAAGCTTCCTGGGAACAAACAGCAGCACAAGACGAAGCTTCCTGGGAACAACACAGCATGTACAAGACGAAGCTCCTGGGAACAACACAGCAGTACAAGACGAAGCTTCCTGGGAACAACACAGCAGCACAAGACGAAGCTTCCTGGGAAACAACACAGCAGTACAAGACGAAGCTTCCTGGGAACAACACAGCAGCACAAGACGAAGCTTCCTTGGAACAACACAGCAGCACAAGACGAAGCTTCCTGGGAACAACACAGCAGCACAAGACGAAGCTTCCTGGGAACAACACAGCAGCACAAGACGAAGCTTCCTGGGAACAACACAGCAGTACAAGACGAAGCTTCCTGGGAAACAACACAGCAGCACAAGACGAAGCTTCCTGGGACAACACAGCAGTACAAGACGAAGCTTCCTGGGAACAACACAGCAGTACAAGTACGAAGCTTCCTGGGAACAACACAGCAGCACAAGACGAAGCTTCCTGGGAACAACACAGCAGCACAAGACGAAGCTTCCTGGGAACAACACAGCAGTACAAGACGAAGCTTCCTGGGAACAACACAGCAGCACAAGACGAAGCTTCCTGGGAACAACACAGCAGCACAAGACGAAGCTTCCTGGGAACAACACAGCAGTACAAGACGAAGCTTCTGGGGAACAACACAGCAGCACAAGACGAAGCTTCCTGGGAACAACACAGCAGCACAATGACGAAGCTTCCTGGGAAACAACACAGCAGCACAAGACGAAGCTTCCTGGGAACAACACAGCAGTACAAGACGAAGCTTTCCTGGGAACAACACAGCAGCCAAAGACGAAGCTTCCTGGAACAACACAGCAGCACAAGACGAAGCTTCTGGGAACAACACAGCAGCACAAGACGAAGCTTCCTGGGAACAACACAGCAGCACAAGACGAAGCTTCCTGGGAACAACACAGCAGCACAAGACGAAGCTTCCTGGGAACAACACAGCAGTACAAGACGAAGCTTCCTGGGAACAACACAGCAGCACAAGACGAAGCTTCCTGGGAACAACACAGCAGCACAAGACGAAGCTTCCTGGGAACAACACAGCAGTACAAGACGAAGCTTCCTGGGAACAACACAGCAGCCAAAGACGAAGCTTCCTGGGAACAACACAGCAGCACAAGACGAAGCTTCCTGGGAACAACACAGCAGCACAAGACGAAGCTTCCTGGGAACAACACAGCAGCACAAGACGAAGCTTCCTGGGAACAACACAGCAGCACAAGACGAAGCTTCCTGGGAACAACACAGCAGCACAAGACGAAGCTTCCTGGGAACAACAACAGTAGCACAAGACGAAGCTTCCTGGGAACAACACAGCAGTACAAGACGAAGCCTTCCTGGGAACAACACAGTAGCACAAGACGAAGCTTCCTGGGAACAACACAGTAGCACAAGACGAAGCTTCCTGGGAACAACACAGCAGTACAAGACGAAGCTTCCTGGGAACAACACAGCAGCACAAGACGAAGCTTCCTGGGAACAACACAGTAGCACAAGACGAAGCTTCCTGGGAACAACACAGCAGTACAAGACGAAGCTTCCTGGGAACAACACAGCAGCACAAGACGAAGCTTCCTGGGAACAAACACAGCAGTACAAGACGAAGCTTCCTGGGACAACACAGTAGCACAAGACGAAGCTTCCTGGGAACAACACAGCAGCACAAGACGAAGCTTCTGGGAACAACACAGCAGCACAAGAGACGAAGCTTCCTGGGAACAACACAGCAGCACAAGACGAAGCTTCTGGGAACAACACAGCAGCACAAGACGAAGCTTCCTGGGAACAACACAGCAGTACAAGACGAAGCTTCCTGGAAACAACACAGCAGCACAAGACGAAGCTTCCTGGGAACAACACAGCAGCACAAGACGAAGCTTCCTGGGAACAACACAGCAGCACAAGACGAAGCTTCTGGGAACAACACAGCAGCACAAGACGAAGCTTCCTGGGAACAACACAGCAGACAAGACGAAGCTTCCTGGGAAACAACACAGCAGTACAAGACGAAGCTTCCTGGGAACAACACAGCAGTACAAGACGAAGCTTCCTGGGAACAACACAGCAGCACAAGACGAAGCTTCCTGGGAACAACACAGCAGCACAAGACGAAGCTTCCTGGGAACAACACAGCAGCACAAGACGAAGCTTCCTGGGAACAACACAGCAGCACAAGACGAAGCTTCCTGGGAACAACACAGCAGCACAAGACGAAGCTTCCTGGGAACAAACACAGCAGCACAAGACGAAGCTTCCTGGGAACAACACAGCAGTACAAGACGAAGCTTCCTGGGAACAACACAGCAGTACAAGACGAAGCTTCCTGGGAAACAACACGCAGCACAAAGACGAAGCTTCTGGGAACAACACAGCAGTACAAGACGAAGCTTCCTGGAACAACACAGCAGTACAAGACGAAGCTTCCTGGGAACAACACAGCAGTACAAGACGAAGCTTTCCTGGGAACAACACAGCAGCACAAGACGAAGCTTCCTGGGAACAACACAGCAGTACAAGACGAAGCTTCCTGGGAACAACACTGCAGCACAAGACGAAGCTTCCTTGGAACAACACAGCAGCACAAGACGAAGCTTCCTGGGAACAACACAGCAGCACAAGACGAAGCTTCCTGGGAACAACACAGCAGTACAAGACGAAGCTTCCTGGGAACAACACAGCAGCCCAAGACGAAGCTTCCTGGAAACAACACAGCAGCACAAGACGAAGCTTCCTGGGAACAAACACAGCAGCACAAGACGAAGCTTCCTGGGAACAACACAGCAGCACAAGACGAAGCTTCCTGGGAACAACACAGCAGCACAAGACGAAGCTTCCTGGAACAACACAGCAGCACAAGACGAAGCTTCCTGGAGAACAACACAGTAGCACAAGACGAAGCTTCCTGGGAACAACACAGCAGTACAAGACGAAGCTTCCTGGGAACAACACAGTAGCACAAGACGAAGCTTCCTGGGAACAACACAGTAGCACAAGACGAAGCTTCCTGGGAACAACACAGCAGTACAAGACGAAGCTTCCTGGGAACAACACAGCAGCACAAGACGAAGCTTCCTGGGAACAACACAGTAGCACAAGACGAAGCTTCCTGGGAACAACACAGCAGTACAAGACGAAGCTTCCTGGGAACAACACAGCAGCACAAGACGAAGCTTCCTGGGAACAACACAGCAGTACAAGACGAAGCTTCCTGGGAACAACACAGTAGCACAAGACGAAGCTTCCTGGGAATCAACACAGCAGCACAAGAACGAAGCTTCCTGGGAACAACACAGCAGCACAAGACGAAGCTTCCTGGGAACAACACAGCAGCACAAGACGAAGCTTCCTGGGAACAACACAGCAGCAAAGACGAAGCTTCCTGGGAAACAACACAGCAGTACAAGACGAAGCTTCCTGGAAACAACACAGCAGCACAAGACGAAGCTTCCTGGGAACAACACAGCAGCACAAGACGAAGCTTCCTGGGAACAACACAGCAGCACAAGACGAAGCTTCCTGGGAAACACACAGCAGCACAAGACGAAGCTTCCTGGGAACAACACAGCAGCACAAGACGAAGCTTCCTGGGAACAACACAGCAGTACAAGACGAAGCTTCTGGGAAACAACACAGCAGTACAAGACGAAGCTTCCTGGGAACAACACAGCAGCACAAGACGAAGCTTCCTGGGAACAAACACAGCAGCACAAGACGAAGCTTCCTGGGAACAACACAGCAGCACAAGACGAAGCTTCCTGGGAACAACACAGCAGTACAAGACGAAGCTTCCTGGGAACAACACAGCAGTACAAGACGAAGCTTCCTGGGAACAACACAGCAGCACAAGACGAAGCTTCCTGGGAACAACACAGCAGCACAAGACGAAGCTTCCTGGGAACAACACAGCAGCACAAGACGAAGCTTCCTGGGAAACAAACACAGCAGCACAAGACGAAGCTTCCTGGGAACAACACAGCAGTACAAGACGAAGCTTCCTGGCAACAACACAGCAGTACAAGACAACTTTTCATCATTATCAAAATATGAATCAGTGATGAAAGATGGCTGCCGTTCAGGGGAAAGCGCTAAACCAGTAGGAGTCATATAGCGCCTGAAAGAACAGTACCGCGACTGGAACAAATACACAGATAACCCGTAGATAGGAGAGAGGCTTATGACGACATTTCGGTCCGATTTGGGCCGAAACGTCTTAAGTTTGACTCTCCTATGTGCGGGTTATTTGTGTATATAGCGCCTAACAATAGTAACATTCAGGTTCCATGAAAGGTCATAAAGCAGTCCAGTAACAACATGAACCTGCGTTCAGGTAACCTTACCAGTGGTGAAAATTCGATGCCGATCAGAAGAGTCATTCTGAAGTTATGGTAGAGATTCGAACGATTTAAAGGATTTTTAACTATTCTACTATATGGACAAATATTCCAGCAGACCAACACCGCGTAATGTTGTTGCAGGTGGTGAAGGTGACAACAACGAGTGCTAATATAACAAGCAGTAGCCAAGAGTACACTCCCTGGGAGCTGTCGTCTGGCATCCATCTTCTGGTACTTCACCCCAGTGACGGTCACCTTATGATGCGACGGTCAGTGTGTTAGTTAGTTACCATTTCAATTCAATTCAAAGTTTATTCTCTATAAGGATTACAATGCTGAGTTTACAGGATTTGGTTATTGTGTGGTTTACATGTAGTGAAATAATAATTACAGAGTGTACCACTAGAACACCTAGCATGGCTAGGCATTTCGGGCAGATTTAAATTAAATCTTAAGTTTAAAATATTACAAAATTATGACGTAAGTTGGTATTATGGCTAAGTGACTAAATACTAGTTTGTGAGTTTAGCAATGTGAATGCTTTTGTTTTGGCACTATACATAGTTTCAGTATTGGAGTATCACAGGCCAACTTATGACTAGTTAAGATTCATTATTTTGAGATTGAGATTGATATTTCTGTTTATGGTCAAATGGGTGAGTGAGTGTAAGTGGTAACCACCAGGTGGTATTCGTGTAATTAGTTGACAGGGTGCATCAGGGAGATAAGATGTTTTCTGATGGTAGTTTTGAAGGTGATGAATGTGTCTGCAGTTTTAGAATTTTCAGGTAGGGTGTTCCAGATTTTAGGCCTTTGACATACATTGAATTTTTGTACAGGTTTAGTCGGACACGGGGAATGTCATAGAGATGTTTGTGTCTGGTGTTGTGCTTGTGGGTTCTGTCGCAACTATCAAGAAAGCGTTTTAGGTCAAGGTTAATATTGGAATTTAAGGTCCTGTAGATGTAGAGTGCACAGTAGTAAGTGTGGATGTACTGAACAGGGAGTAAGTTTTAGATCTATGAAGAGTGGGGGGGGGGGTGTTGCCAGGGATGGGATTTAGTGATTATTCTTACTGCGGCTTTTTGTTGGGTTATTATTGGCTTTAGGTGTGTTGCTGCAGTTGAACCCCAAGCACAGATAGCATAGGTGAGGTATGGATATATAAGTGAATGGTATAGTGTGAGAAGGGCATTTTGCGGCACGTAGTATCGTATCTTGGAGAGGATCCCAACCGTTTTGGATACTTTTTTGGTTATGTGTTGGATATGGGTGCTGAAGTTCAGGTTGTTGTCGAGGTATAGGCCTAGGAATTTGCCCTCATTATGCCTGGCAATTAGAGTGTTGTCGATCTTAATGTTAATTTGCGCATCTCCTGCTCTGCTACCAAACATAATGTAGTAGGTTTTGTCAGTGTTCAGCGTAAGTTTATTGGCTGTCATCCAAGTCGATATTTTGATCAGCTCCTCATTAACAATGGTGTTGAGGGTGGCAAGATTAGGGTGAGAGATGACATAAGTCGTGTCGTTAGCAAAGAGAATGGGGTTCAGGTGTTGAGATACGTTTGGAAGATCATTGATGTATATGAGGAAGAGCAGGGGACCAAGGACACTTCCCTGCGGAACTCCAGTATCAAGTGGCCGTGTTGTTGATGCTGTGTCTTTAATGGTGACATACTGATACCTATTAGTAAGGTAAGATTTGAAATATGCAAGCGCATGGCCTCTTATACCGTAATGGTCAAGTTTGTGGAGTAGGATGCCGTGGTCTACTGTGTCAAAAGCTTTTCTTAGGTCAATAAAAATTCCTAGTGGATATTCCTTATTTTCCAATGCTGTGTAAAGCAAATCTAGCATTTTTATGATTGCATCGTTAGTGCTTTTATTTTTCCTGAATCCAAATTGGCAGGGGTTGAGTATGTTTTGTGCCGTTATAAATGAATATAGTCTCCTGTGCACGAGTTTCTCAAAGATTTCGGATAGCAATGGTAAGTTTGATATTGGCCTATAGTTGTTTAAATCTGTAGGGTCACCACCTTTATGTATTGGTGTAACCCTTGCCGAGTAGTTTCGGGAAGGTGCTAGTTTCTAGTGACTTGTTAAAAAGTAATGAGATAGCATGCGAGAGGACATGGGCCGCTCTCTTGTACAATAATGGTGGGATATGAGACAGATTCCCTGAGTTATTTTTAAGTGACTTTATAATCTCGGTGACTTCCATGGGCTCAGTTGGAGCAAGATAGAAGGAATTTGGGAAATTCCCATCTTGGTAGTCCCTGGCATGGGCATTGGTATGTGGGATTTTATTGGTGAGATTAGAACCTATGGTTGAGAAGAAGTTGTTTATCTTGTTAGCTGTGTCAGTGGGATGCAGTGGTGTTTCATTAGGTTTAGTTAGGGCAATATTCTTGTTTTTTTTTTCAGTTTGTGGGTCCCTAGAATCCGAGAGAGTGTTTTCCAGGTTTTTTTTATATCTCCTCTTGTGTCAGTGAATCTACTGAAGTAGTATAGTTGTTTGGCTTTCTTTATTACTTTGGTGAGGACTGATGAATAGTGTTTAAGAATATCTTTGTGTATTAAGCCCTGTCTATATTGTTTTTCATATTGGTGTTTCTTATCAATGGATTTCAGAATGGTGCTGGTTAGCCATGGGCAACCAAGCCGTTTGTTTGTGATCTGTTTCGTTTTTATAGGACAATGTTTGTTGTATAGTCTAAGTAATTGTTAAGAAAAATGTCTGTCCAGTCATCAATACCATTGGCCTTGGAGAATTCTGTAGGCCAGTCAACAATCTCTAGGTCAGCTGTGAACTTCCTTATCGAGGCCTCATCATGGAGTCTAAATGAAACTTTGTTGTATTCAAGTGGTGGTTTACTAATGTTTGTCAGGAGGAAGGTAGGGTAGTGGTCTGTAGTGCTATCTGTGATTATCCCTGATTTAAGGGGGGCTAGTATATTGGTCCATATGTGGTCTATTATGGTTGCACTTGTTTCAGTGAGCCTGGTTGATTTAGTTATTGTTGGTATGAGAAGTGTGTTGTTCTATTTTTGATAAAAACGTTACGGCTGATCATCTAGAAGCAAGGTTTTGTTGAAGTCCCAGCAAAGAGAAGGTGGGCTATTCATTTTCTTTTGTTTTTAGTGCCTTTATTTTTCTCACTAAAATTTTGGGTGTTTTGTTGGGTATGGGGTAAATGGCACCGATTGTTTTGGCGTTTTAAAGGGTTTTTTTACAGTAAAATTAGAAAAAAATGTATTCTCCAATTCATCACAAAAGAAAGGGGTGCTAATACAAGATAATAGGTTAGAGTAATAGATTCAATACCACCCCCAACTTTGGATGTCGCAGTTGTGGATTGTGTGTATCCCGGGGAGGGGAGATATCTTTGTGTCCTGTTAAGCCAGGTCCAGTAAAATAATGCAGGGGAAGGGGTTTTTCTTTAGTGATTCAAGGGTAAAAGGAGTCATCATTTTGTTTTTAGGATAATTTGTTGTTAGTTAAGTTTAGTTTAAAAATTTGTTTGGAATGCGGTTGTGATGTGGTAGTAAAGAGTTACTTCCAAATATTTTGTTTGGTGAAATTTATAGGTTGGGGAACGGGTAACTTCCCCTCTTCCCTAGTTTTTTGGGTTATTAATATCCGGGTTTTGATTTTTTTTTTAGTTTTTAAATTTGGGGGGAAGTTGGCAATTTAAAACTTGCTTTTTCCCCATTAAATAGTCACTATCACATAATGGGTTGGTTGTCTGTTTTTTGCTGAATGAGTAAAGTCAACTAGTATAAACTAATAATATAAAAATAAAAATTTTAAAAAATAGCACAAGACTCTCACTAAAATTACACTATGGTTTAATGAAGAATTTGGTACTGACTAGTATTGAGCTAGAATGAGCTATATACAACTGATTTTTAATCTAATGTATAAAAAAGGCACAAAACTCTCAGTTGTAATTGCACTAAGGTGTTTATAATTTGTTTACAAAATTAGAGTAAAAACAAATTTTAAAATTGACAAGATAAAATATACAATTAAGGGACAAAAAAAAAAAAAAATAGAAAAAAAAAATATATGAGGTTTTTGGTACTAGTTGCAAAAGATAGTAAGGGGGCCTTGAACAATAATATAATTGAAATATACACAAATTTGAACACAATATAGTCACTAAATATAAAAAACAATTTAGAATGGGTTTTAAATAAATTTATAATATAAAAATAAAAATTTAAAAATGGTACTGCAATTACACTAGCGGGTTAGGTTGTTGACAAGATCAAAGTTAACTGTTTTTAAATTTTAAAAAATAAAATTCAAAAATTAAAGTACCAAAAAAAAAAAATTTAAAAAATAACAAGGGAAAATTTTTGTTATAAAGATAGTAAGATGGTAGACAGGTAAAAGGTACACAGGTACAAGTACACAATGCCCGGTCACAGGTACAAAGGATAATAAAAGGTTGGAGTTAATATAAAAAACTTAAAAATTTTGGCAACAAAAATTTAGGGGAAAGTAAAAAATAATGTTTAAGTACAAAAGTAAAATTGACTGTAGAAAAAAGGTGTTTAATAAATTTTAGTAAGTTTAATGATAAAAAAAAAAAGTGAAAAAGTAATTTTTATTTCTTCAAAATTGCATGTAGTTATCGAGGTTATTGGAGAAAAGGAATTAAGAGTACTCTAAGATAGTAAATGTGGTTTTAAAACTGGTTAAGGAATTAGACAAGTAATGGTTATTAAATTTGCAAAAATGTTAAGAGAAATTTATTGATAGAAAAAAATGGAAATTTTTAAATTTTTAGTAAGAATACATTGATAGTATTTAAAAAAAAAAAGTAGTAATATGGGCAAGAAAGTATCAATTCAGCTAATATTAAACAAACAATGAAATAAGAAAATTAATAAAGGGGACTTATGCTTACTATAAAATCACAAAAAAGAATAGTTGATTATTTAATTCTAAGAGATTTTTCTACGAGATTTGAAAAAAATGGGGCAAAACATAACTACATTACGTAGGCTTTTAGGTTTGGACATTTAGTTTTCTCTGTAAGAATATCCCTGAGAAATGTGATAGATCTTCTGTTCGTGATTGTGTACAGTGACCCACATTTGTTTTCCCCAACAAAATTTCCCATCCCTTGAAGTTTGGGGTATTTTGGGCTTTTTCTCCCCCTTAAGTTTTCTGACTCTTACAGGGGGTTCTGACGTTTTTTTTGGAAAAACACTCGTTTATGTAACCCCTTTTTTACTTTAAAGATGCAAAATTAAGTCTTTTTTTCCCTTTATGTGAGTGGGAAACTAAGCATAACATTTTTCTACCATGGGATCCTAGTAACCTGGTTCTTTTATTTCAGATCGGGTACAAAAACACTTGTTTGTCCTTTTTGACTGCAGAGTAATTTCTTTTCTTTTATTTGGTTCTAACTGGGAAAAAAGGGGGCTGTTAACTATTACTGCGTCCCCATAGTTTATCTTGTTCAGTTTTTTCTTCTTGAGAGCAAAAAAAAGTCCTGAAATGGTTATCAATTTTTTTCCCTTTTTTATGCTTCTTCAACATTTTATTAAAAAGAATTTTTTGTTGGGGGATGGGGTATCTATGACTGTCTGGATGGGGCTTTCACAGTTGTATTTCCGGTGTTGAAATTTTTTCCCCAGGACAAGGTGTGAGCAATTGTGTGGTGTGAGCATGGTGGTGTGAGCATGTGTTGTGGAGCATGTGTGTGTGTGAGCATGTTGGTGTGAGCATGTGTGTGTGTGAGCATGTTGTTTTGGGTGTGTGTTTGGGGCATTGTGTGTGTGAGCTGTGTGTGTGTGTGACATGTGGTGTGGGAGCAATGTTGGGTTTTTGTGTGGGCATGTGTGTTTTGTGTGTACACGCACCCAATTGTACTTGCAGGGGTCGAACTCACTCCTGGCCCCCCCTCTTCCGAACCTACTAGGTGCCTTTTCCCTGCTCCCGACTTCACATACCCTTTTTTTAAAGCAAAGTATGGTTTTTCCCGCCCCCCACTACATCGCTCGCCCGACTGTTCCACTTCCTGACCACTCTATGACTGAAGAAATGCTTCCTAACATCCCTGTGGCTCATCTGAGTCTTCAACTTCCAAGAGTGACCCCTTGTTTCTGTGTCCCCTCTCTGGAACATCTTGTCTCTGTTCGCCTTGTCTATTCCACGCAGTATCTTGTATGTCGTTATCATGTCTCCCCTATCCCTCCTGTCCTCTAGCGTTGTTAGGCCGATTTCCCTCAGCCTTTCTTCGTAGGACATTCCCCTTAGCTCTGGCACTAACCCTGCCACAAACCTTTGCACTTTCTCTAATTTCTTAACGTGCTTGACCCGGTGAGGGCTCCAAACTGGTGCTGCATACTCCAGTATGGGCCTGATGTACACGGTGTGTGTGTGTGTGTGTGTGTGTGTGTGTGTGTGTGTGTGTGTGTGTGTGTGTGTGTGTGTGTGCTTGTGTGTGTTTGTGTGTGTTTGTGTGTGTGTGTGTGTGTGTGTGTGTGTGTGTGTGTGTGTGTGCGTATTTGTGTGTGTGTAGAGTTTGTCTTCACCGGTTTCTCACCCAGAGAAAAAATTATCCCCATACTCGTGTTGTACATGTCAACAAACTGTGAATGCTCGTGTTGTTGCACGTTGCAGGATCCTGACCACAGCACTGTTCGGGTCAGCCCACGAGGTGCCGAGTGTTCTCAGCTCTCTGACCCCAGGTCACCTCCTCGTCATGGCAATCAAGGTCAGCTCACACCTTGCCTTCTTTCTCCTCCAGTATCACTATCAATTAATTAATCTCAATCTTGACTTTTATTCCACATTATGAACAAATACCCTTTCAAGGAACGTGCCTTGATGCTGCTGGAGGGCTCTTGATCCTTCCCTTCAATGGATCAAACCTAGTTACCTTTAATGCCCCAGGCGCCATGGAATTCCGTAAATATAATAATAAATCTTTTTAAAACGTTGATGGTGAGCAGAAGGATGGAGGGAAGGCTCGAACTGTGGTCCAATTAGCAGCCCCACCGGTTCCATCCGCCCGTCCATCCTTTTGTATATTCAGTGCCAGTAGTTTATTACGACTTAATCTGAGTTCATTGACGGTAAGGTTGGTTAACGTCCGATCTCAACCCAGAACGACGCTGCTCAGAACCTCACACCGCTGACCAGGAAGCTGCTGGCGAGGGTGGGGCTGAGGTCAGCACTCAGCCTGCACCGGCAGGAGTCCGTGGCGTGGGTGGCCACCCTTGCAGGACCTGTGTGGGGCGAGGCCAGGACACTCAACCTGGAGGAGGAGCCCAGGAGCTACATGGACTGGGCTTCAGGAGTCTCTCTCGACCTGCTGGTACCTCGAGTGTTTCACGGTGAGTCAGTAGTTTAGAACACCGACAAGTTGATAAATGACACACTTGTGTAACATTTGTTTATCTTCATTGTGGAAACATTTCACCAGCCAGTGACTTCTTCAGTCCAGTGCAGAAGATGAGGAGGAGTTTGAGGTAATTAGTCCCTCAGGCTGGAATCGATGTACACATCGACTCCAGCCTGAGAACTCTTTATTAACCAGAATCTTTTAATGCAGACGGGGCTTCCCTCAGGATGGGACCAGAGCTTTAAACTTAAGTGAATGAAGATTCTTTATTGACCAAACTCTGCATTGACCAGAACCCTTTGTTGTCCAGTAGCTTTTATTGACAACAAGCCTTTATTGACCAGGAGCCTTTATTGACCAGGAGCCTTCATTGACCAGGAGCCTTTATTGACCAGAACTCTTCATTGACCAGAAATAACTGAGTGCATCGTGTATTCTAAACTGGGAGTTGTTACGGCAGGTAACAGTAACAATGTTCAGTTGAATGAGTGACACAAGTGTGCAACACTGGGCATCATTAGTGACGAGGCTGTAACAAAGTTGTCTAGTGTTGCAAGTCCCTCATCAACTTTGACTGTGTTACATACTATTTATGTTACAAGTTTGTTGTGGCCCGGCAGATGACCAGTGCCTGAGGAAGGACGATCCCAGAGAGGCTGAGAGAACTATCTTCTGCAGCCAGTATGATGGTTATGGTGACCTGTGTTATTGTCCTCACCCAGCACCTCTCACCTACCAGCCCCCTGAGGTACTTATCAAGCCCCAAGAGGTACTTATCAAGCCCCCAGAGGTAATTATAAAGCCCTCAGATGTACTTGTTAAGCCACAGAGGTACCAAACAAGCTCCCCAGAGGTACTAATTAAGCCTCAAGAGGTAGTTATCTAGCCCCCAGAGGTACTTATCTTACAGTGTTGTTGTTTATCTCACAGTATTGCTGTGTATCTTTCAGTTTTGTTGTGTATCTCACAGTATTGTTCTGTATTTTACAGTGTTGTATCATACAATGTTGTATCTTACAGTGTTGTATCTTACGGTGTTGTATCTTACAGTCTTGCATCCTACAGTGTTGCATCATACAATGTTGTATCTTAGTGTTGTATCTTACAGTGTTGCGTCTTAGTGTTGTATCATACAATGTTGTATCTTACAGTGCTGTATCTTACAGTGTTGTGTCTTAGAATGTTGTATCTTAGAGTGTTGTATCTTAGAGTGTTATATCTTAGTGTTGTATCATGCAGTGTTGTATCTCACAATGTTGTATCATGCAGTGTTGTATCATACAGTGTTGTATCATACAGTGTTGTATCTTAGTGTTGTATCTTACAGTGTTGTTGTGTATCTTAGTGTTATTGTGTATCTTACAGTGTTGTTGTGTATCTTACAGTATTGTTCTGTTTCTTACAGTGTTGTATCTTAGTGTCGTTGTGTATCTTACAGTATTGGTGTGTATCTTAGTGTTGTATCTTAGTGTCGTTGTGGGATCTTACAGTGTCGTTGTGTATTCTTAGTCTCGTTGTGTATCTTACAGTGTTATTGTGTTTCTTACCGTATTGTTCTGGTTTTCTTACAGTGTTGTATCTTAGTGTCGTTGTGTATCTTAGTGTTGTTGTGTATCTTACAGTGTTGTGTATCTTAGTGTTGTTGTGTATCTTAGTGTTATTGTGTATCTTACAGTGTTGTTGTGAATCTTACAGTGTTGTATCTTACAGTGTTGTATCTTTCAGTGTTGTTGTGTATCTTTCAGTGTTGTTGTGTATCTTAGTGTTGTATCTTTCAGTGTTGTATCTTAGTGTTGTTGTGTATCTTACAGTGTTATTGTGTATCTTACAGGTTGTTGTTTAATCTTAGTGTTGTATCTTACAGTGTTGAATCTTTCAGTGTTGTTGTGTATCTTACAGTGTTGTTGTGTATCTTACAGTGTTGTTGTGTATCTTACAGTGTTGTTGTGTATCTTACAGTGTTGTTGTGTATCTTACAGTGTTGTGTATCTTTCAGTGTTGTATCATTCAGTGTTGTGGTGTATCTTACAGTGTTGTATCTTACAGTGTTGTGTATCTTACAGTGTTATTGTGTATTTTACAGTGTTGTTGTGAATCTTACAGTGTTGTATCTTATAGTGTTGTATCTTACAGTGTTGTTGTGTATCTTACAGTTAGAGAACAGTGTGATACAAGATGTACCTCTGCTGCTGCTGGCAAGTAACCGACCCACCTACCTGTACAGGTAACTACATCACTACATTCTGCTTAAGCAACTCGCATAGTGTAATACTATCAGAGGTATGTATCCCTTAGTGTATATACTATGAGACATATATAATATATATTATATATATATATATTTTTTATTTTTATAATATATATATTTATTATATATATATATATATACACAAACACTGATCTCTGGCTGAAGAAGACTCGAACCTACGAACCTTAGGACAGGTACGCAGTGCTTTACCAATCTTCCACACATGGACAATACCTTCGCGTGTAGCATGTGCTACACGTTTGTGTATATTTCGCATGCTCTCGCGAATTCCTTGCATTGTTAAAATCTCTAGTAAGGGTGATGCATGCAGGGATGAGTGAAAAACTGTAAACCTTCTCCCCGAAAGTGGTGCCTTGGATCAAACGTGTAGCGCCTACACGCCAAAGGTATTGTCCGGGGGTTTGTTTGGTAAAGCACTGCGTACCTTGCCCTAAGGTTCGTGGTTCGAGTCTTCTTCAGCCGGTCAGTGTTTGTGAATTTTTTATATATTATATATATTATTTTTATATTTATATTTAAAATTTAATATATAATGTCGTGCCGAATTTTTAAAAAAACTGGTCAATTGAAAAGAATCTTTTAAAAATTAAAGTTCTTTCTAAAAATTTCTTTACTTTTAAAAGATTTTTTTTTTTCATTAATGTTGATGTAAAAATTTATAATTTTGCACAAAAGAAAATTAGAAAACGTCCCAAACCCTTTTTAAACAAGAAAAATTTATTTTAGATAACTCAAAAAATATTTTTTAGTTTTGTTTACAAAAATTAAACTAAACAAACCAGGAAATATTTTTTTTTGTTAGGTTTTACAGATTTTGGCGAAAATTTTTTCATACACAAATTTTCCTTTTTCTTTGGCAAAAGAAGTTGTATTAGCCAAGTAGCAAGTTCTGCCTATTGGGGGACGAAATTAATATATTATTATATATATATATTATATATATATATAAATTTTTATTATATATTATATATATATGGAAAGATAGATAGGTAAAAACATTCTTGTGTATGTTCCGTGTTGTGGGATCTACTCTCTCACTAAATTACAAATAAGTCAATTGTGTATGAAAAAATTTCGTATTAACTTAATTAGTTTATAATTTAACACATGTGCAACACTTGGGTATCTTTAAAGAGGAAACGTTTCGCACACCGACTTCTCGTGACACCTACAAAATGCTGCACCTCTCCTGTCTTCACTATAAGTATTATTTTCAAAAACTTATGGACTAATTTCATGAATCAAGGCTGAGGGGGTGATTACCTCAAACTCCCCTTGTTCTTTAGCATTCTTCTTTGTATGGACTGATGAAGTCAGTGTGTGGCGAAACGTTTCCTCATTAAGATACCCAAGTGTTGCACATGTGTCTAATTTATCAACTTGTCGGTTCTCTGAACCAGTCATCTACGAACCTTAATAATGTTTCATGTTGTAGTGTACTACAATGTACTAAGATGTGTAGTACTGTAACAGCTGTGTACTGAGGTAGTACACTGACCTGTGACTCAGTGTGAGATATACGAATGTAACTTAGGCTGACTAACGTACACAGGCAACATGTTCAGCGTATGATCAACTTGGATTACGAGATGTTTCGCTCACTAGGAGCTCCTGTTTAGCGAAACACATTGAATATGTGTATTCTTTTATTCATAGACTTTATGAACTGTGATGGTGTCAGAGAGTACTGGAGGCTTGATCCACCGTTCACTAACAGTGAGTATTGGAAGTTTGATCCACTGTTCACTAACAGTGAGTGCTGGAGGTTTGATCCACCGTTCACTAACAGTGAGTATTGGAAGTTTGATCCACTGTTCACTAACAGTGAGTGCTGGAGGTTTGATCCACCGTTCACTAAATGTGTGTTGTAGGAGTCTGGTGACGCTGCTGAGGCAAGCTGGTGCGTCCTTGGAGAGGATCCTGGTGCTGGTGGATGGTCACCATCAGCAGGTGTGTGACCTGCTCAACCTCCTCCAGGTGAGTGATCTGCTGATCATCCCCTCCAGGTGAGTGACCTGTTGACCCTCCTCCAGGTGAGACAAGGATTCAGGGAAGGTGTTCAGATGTACACAGTGATCGTTACTTAAACTTTATACCATAGTACCTTATATATGTTTACATTGTCATATTGTGTGTTTTACGAGGTCTTGCTATGGACCCCTGAGTGACCTATACTGCTTCAGTATCCTGAAAACATCAATACTACTATCTATACTACTACTACTACTACTACTACTACTACTACTACTACTACTACTACTGCTGCTGCTACTACTACTACTACTACTACTACTACTACTACTATACTAATACTACTACTACTACTACTACTACTGCTGCTGCTACTACTACTACTACTACTACTAATACTAATAATAAGAATAATAATAATAATACTGCTACTATTACTACTACTACTACTACTACTGTTACTATACACACACGCACGCATACACACCAGGAGCTGAGTCTCGACCCCTGCACCTACAATTAGGTGAGTACACACACACACACACACACACGCACGCGCGCGCGCACACGCACACACACACAGGGGCCAGGAGCTAAGACTCGACCCCTGCAACCACAAATAGGTGAGTACACACACACACACACACACACACACACACACACACGCACACACACACGAGGAAGCAAGGGTATCAGTGATGGTTGGGCTGAGAAGGAAGTTCTGGCAGAAAGGATCAAGAGCACGTAACAGGAATGGGAAAAAAAGGTGAGTTTTGTAACACAATAGTGGAGAAGATATCCGCAGAGGTCAAGAAGTAGGAGTTACAATCTCTTGCTGCTGAGGCAAGGATGCAGAGCCTGGCAGAGGAACTGGAAATGCTGAAGTGGAAGATGGAGGCAAGGACCAATAGGAGCAAGAAGCTTGGTGTAGGAACAACAGTGGACAATGAGGGGACTGAAGGAGGGGAAGGAGTAAAGAAGTTCCTTGGGGAAATGATATCAGGCCACTGGGATGTCTGGGAGACAATTAGGGAAAAACCAAGGAGATACTTAAATCAGACCCAGAGATATGGAGGGAAACAAAATGGGACTCCGTGAGGCAGAAGACCTCTGATGAAAGAAGATAGGGGGAGGTAAAAGAGATTGGAGCATCTCACAGTGCAGGAGAGGAATGACCCAAAAAATGAAAATTGGGGGTACTAAGGAAAAAGAATTGCTCAATCAAATTAACATTCAAAACAGAAGGGCTTTTAAACAGATCACGCAGTGGAAACCGCGGGTAAAGGGTCCGAATACCGGGAAAAGTGTATTCGGAGCAGGACAAAAAAAAGAAAGGGAAACAATGGGAGACAAAGAAAATTTGGTGCAGGGGCAGGAAAGGGGTAGGCAGGTTCAACAAAGAGGAGAGTTAACCCTTTTGGAGAAAAACAAAACAAAAACTGCCCCCCCGACACCAAAATATCCAAACCCACTAAAACACACCAACCAAAAACAAACCAAACCAAACCTAAAACCCCATTTTTCCCCAATAGTCCCCTCCCCCAAAAATCCAAAAGCAGCCCCCCCCCCCCCCCCCCCCCCCCGCCCCCCCCCCCCCCCCCCCCCCCGGGGTTAAAATGGTACCCCAAAAGGCAGATAAATAAAAAATAAGAGTGGGGTGGCAGGAAAAAATCACTGGGGCTCCCTGGACATTTTTGCATCACAGAAACAAGCTCATGGGGGTGTAAAGATGCAATCTTCCTGCTGGATATCAGATCCTGGGAAAAGGGGAAAAACGAGGGAAAGGTATTACACTGCTCTTTAAAAAACCAATGGAGTTTTGAGTGTGAGGATAGTCAGAGGCGAAGGAGTTTACTAGTAGGAACTTAAAACGGGGGGCCCAAAAAGCAAGATAGCAGCAATGTACAATTTCCCCACGAACAGCAGGGGACCAAGACAATAAGTGGAGCAACAGAGTGATGGTGGACACACTAGCTGAGGTGAAAAAAAGGGCCAAATGGCGGGGTAATTTATCATCTGGGGGATGAAACCTAAGGAGATGGACTGGGAAAAATCTGGAGCCCATGAGCCCAGAGAATGTAGACCAAGAGGGGAGGCAGTCTGGAAATTTCTTCCAACAGTTAGGGACCCCCAAAAAAGGAAAGGAGAAAATGAAAAAAATGCTGGATCTTGTAATACCTTGAACCTTTGATTTCATAGGAGATATACGCTAGTAAAATTTTGGGCCCCTGAGTTTCAAATCAGGTAGATTAACAATGGAGAGTGAAACGTAGAGAAGGAGGGGAGAAGCAAACTTCAAAATGGGATAAAGGTGTGAGGTAATTTTCCCTGGGGTGCAGTGGGGTAAGAGAGTGGGGGGAAGAGAGTAATAAAATGATGGAACACGTGTCACAAGTGCAGGGAGACAGAGAAAATCTGCCAAGGAGCAACAAAAAGGAAAACCAGAGTGAGCCTGGGTTTTTCCCGGGCTGTGGAGAGGCCAAAAAAAAAGTTTGCTAGAGTTGGAAAAAAATTATAGGGGAAAGGACCAGGAAAAAAGAGTGGAGCGAAGAGCCCGGAAATGAATATGAGGACAAAGGGGGAGGCCCCGCTTGACAGGGTGACGCTCAGAAGGTAATTCTGACCCAAAATTGTTATACAGCCAATCGGAGGAAAACAAAAGTCAAGGGCCGGTAATCAGGTGGGAAGAAAGAAGGGGAGCCACAGGAACGACAGGAAATATGTGAGGGTAGCCCCGATTCAGAGGGGGTCACGGCAGAGACAGGAAGGCTTCCAGCAAACCGAATGGTAGGTGACCAGCAAGTGCTAAGCACCTGCACACAACCCCGAGGGAAAAGGGGGAAGAATATTCTATTGAGTCCTGGAGAAAGGGGAGAAAAAATGGTGTGCCTAACAACAATCTTTAAATTGAAAAGGGCAATTGCCCGGGGTGTGTAAAGACGCAAACGTTTTGCCTAATTTTTAAAAAAGAAGACAGAAGGGAGCTCTTAAATACGACCGGTCGCTGACATGTTAGTATGTAAAGTTAGGAGAGTTATCAGAGTGGTGGAAACACCTAGAGGGACGGGCTCATGCATGACAACCATCACGGCTTTTTGGAAAAAAAATCCTGCATCACAAACCCGATGGGTTCTGCGAAAAGGTAACAGAAAGCAGGGGAGAGAAGGGGGAGATTGCTCTTCTTGGACGTAAAGGGGCTTTTGACACGTACCACACAGGACGGTTGAATGCTAGAAGCCCGGCAGGAATAGCAGGGGGGAGCACTTCAGTGAATATAAAGCCTGACAGGAAGGGAAAAAGTGTGTTGGGACGTGACTAGGTGCAGAGTGGGGATGTGTCGAGTGGGGTTTACAAAGGGTCAGTCCTAGGTCCGGGGCTGTTTCTTGTATATGTGAAACCGGGCTAGGTAAGGTAAGCACGTGCCTGGGACACCCTTGAAGGGGGCGCCACTGGTTTTTATTAAAGCAGATAACCTTTTAGCAGTGAAAAAAAAAATTCTTCAGACGTACGATTGTTATTTGACGGGTGAGAAGCATAGGATGGCTAGTTTTATAAACCCTTTTTATAAATTTTAGTTATAAATATTGCTGGGGTTTTTTTTTTGTCTCATAAAAAACACAGATAAAAGGGTATTTTGCTACTCCTACTTACACTTTGGTCACACTTTTACGACACGACGCTTTTGTATATACTACTTAGGTTTTTTTCCCCTTTTTTTAATAGCTCTTGTTTTCTTTATTTCTTCTATTGTCCGGGGAAGTGGGAAAAAAAAACTTTCCCCGCAAGCCATGCGTGTGTATGGGCGACTAAAATGCGGGAGCTGGGTGTAACCCCTTCTCCCGAGACATTTATAAAAAAGAGAAGAAGAAAAAAAATTTATAAAGGTGTTGAATGTGGTGGATGTGTGCGGAGACAAGAAAAAATGATTGCTAAAGTTATAAATTGAAAAAAAGTTGGAGTCTTGGGCCCTAAGCGAAAAAAAAGTTTGGAAGGGGGTGGGGGAGTTTTTTCGGGTGGGGGGAAATAAATGGGATTAAACTAAGTATTGAGAGATTTATGAGAAAAGGGAAAGGGGTAGCATAATGTTAAAGGATCAGTTAGGGGAAGGAAAAAAAAGAGAATTTTGAATGTGTAAATTAAAAGAATTCGTGGTTTAAAAGAAAAGGGTTTGGATCGAAAAGTGGGTCAAAAAAAAGCGTGTAGCCCCTTGGAAAAAAGAGGGGAAAGGCAAGGAGGGGAGGATTTTTTGGGGGAGATTTTTAAGTGAATGTATGGGAACCCTTTAACCCAAGTGAAAAGATTTAATTGTGGTGGGGGGGACCTAAATGCTAAAGTAGGAAAACCCTTTTAGGAGGGTGGGGTAGGTAAGTTTGGGGTGCCGGGTTTGTAAAAAAAATGGGACCCCCCTTTGGGAATTTAAAACCTTTGTTTTAAGAAAGGGGTTTATTTATAGGTAAAAACTTTTTTTTAAAAGGAAAAAAAAAAAGGAAATAAGTATACAAGTTATGAATGTGGGGGGAAAAAATGACAGTGTTTTTTGGGTTTTATGTTTTGGTTTAAGAAAAAAGGGGCCCTTTTGAGTAGATTTTCAGGTTTGTACATGTTTTTGGGGGGGGCCCAAAAAAATTATCAGTCACTTTCTAGTTGTGTTTACACTGAGAGTAAAAAGGTAGAGGGATAAAAGGGGGGAATAGAAGCATCAGGGAAGAGAGAGGGAAGGTTTATAAACTAAAAGAGGAGGCATTTGGGGGTAAGATATAAAAGCTATTGGGGGATAGAGGGGTTTAATGAAGTTTAGGAAATTGGGGGTCAAAGGGTATGGGGTTTTTTTTAAAAATGAAAGTTTTTAGTGTTCAGCAGAAGTTTGGGGTTTTCGGAAAGGGGGGTGCGGGGGGGAAAGGGGAGGAGCGATTGGGGGAAAGGGATGATAAAAAGGAAGAAAAGGGGAAAAAAGTTAGCATATGAGAATTTTTTTACAAAGTAAAAGTGATGCAAGGGGGAAAGGG